ACATGCATAACCTGTCAATCAATTGGATTTCGAATTTGGTCTGAAACCCAATCGGATAATTTGGATATGGATTGAATATTTAATTTAATAGTCTATTAACCATTCGAATCCGATAGATCTGACAAATATAATATATAATATGCTATAGATATATTATCTATCATTCAATGGTATGCCGAACAAATTAATCAGAAATTTTGCTTACATAGAATTTATCATGCATTAGCACTCTTAATTATATCAGTGTTTCTTCATTTTTTTTAATTCTTCTCTTCCGATTTTTCCTCTCTTTATTGTTTTTCTCTAGCTAAGAATCAAATATCTAATCTCTTCTCTTTTTTGTTCATATGTTTTTTTGGCCCTTCTCCATCTTTCTCCCACATATATTTTTTTTTAATTTATTTTGAAATTTTGTTCAAATATATATATACACCTCTTAACAGATTTCATTATGTCGTATATTATATAAATACAAAATCATATACAAATATTTTGCATAACCAATGCTAAATTCTACCATATGCCACTTTTATTGAGTAGTTCAAATTCTATCTGCAGGGACAAAGCCTCATTGTCAAACCAATAAAGACTCTACTGTTGGGCGCACGCAGTTTCTTTTTCAATGAGTACTCTCTCTCTCTCTCTCTCTCTCTCTCTCTCCTGATAGTGAAGTACATTTTGTTAAACCTTTTTCTCTCTATATATATATACACAAATATATTAATCATCTATATGTTTCAATCATTATATTTATATATAGTCTATAGATGGTTTTTGAGAGACCTTCATGCATTCATGCTAGAACTAGAAGCAGTGAATTTCTTGCATGACATGCATACTCTGTTACAAGTTGTGATTCAGAGTGGAAGTAAGAAACGTCCGTCACTATGATTAATGACAGTGACATCATTCCACATTCACAAAAATAGTCGAATTAGTCCGAGAGAGTCTGACTATTTTTCATTTTCCTTTTTTCTTACGTATGACATAATGTATTCATGTCTAGTGTTTGCAAGAAAGAGAATTGGAACAACAAAACTGCTAAAGGAAGGGTAATCCTATGCTTCTCAACAGCAGAATCTGTGACCGGTTCTGAGGCTGAGGAGGCGGCGTATTGGGCGGGGGCGGCCGGCTTAATCTTTGTAGGGCCATTCACTGATCAGGATCCCGATGTGACTAACGTCCCCATGGTGCATGTTGACATTAGCCAAGGGACTAAACTTAAGCACTATCTTTTTGAATATGTAAGGTGAATGAACAAAATTTAATTTAGATTGTTATATAGTTACCATGCATATATATAATCCCACAATTTTGGAGATTAGAGAAGTGAGATTGGAGAGTTGTTTTTGCATCCAAATGATATATAATAGTAATGAACGTTCCATTTAAAGGACTTATTAATAGGGGATGTTAAAATATCTGGCCACGCCCCGGTTAGAACGGTTACAGGGGTGGTTAAAATTTAAATGGTTTTAAGCGTGAATAAATTATAAAATTGAAAATTCTAATGAGATTACGAGGGAGGGATGGGAAAGGTCATCCCGTCCCGTTTACAATGCTAAGCTACAATTTTGTCTTTGAACTTTATTTTAATATTCAATAATATTATGTATGTATTATGCAAATTTTATTTTATTTTATTACAATTACTAAATATCCTTTTGTATTATTCTTATTTGAGAAATACTATGTATTATTTTGATAATTCTACAATAATTTAAGTCTTAAGTTCCAATTGAGAAATTGAATCTTGTTTTTATCCGCATAAGATAAATGAATTATTACTATGGGTGAAAATTTGTTTAATTATTTACGTTCGTGTAATACTACAAAGTACTCTACTAAACTCATCTCTATCCCATCCCGTTTAATAAACAATTTTGGACGAAAAATAGAAATAGCTATGCAAAATGGGATGGGATTGGCATCCCCCGCCTGTTGCCATCCCTATTCATGAAGCAAAGCATTTCAGAAGAAAGAGAACCATGAGAATTCCAATAAATTCTGAAAACAAAAATATTGAGAATTTCAAAATAAAATGAGAAACGGTATGCACGAAATAGTGTGAGATACACACATAAACACGAAAATGCTATTTTTTATTTTTTAAAATACAAAAAGTAAATATTAGAAAAGAGTAGAGGTGATTGTATATATTCAAAGTTTTCAATCCATTCAATATTTAAAGTGGCATTTCTTCGTAACTAAAAAATAATAGTAATAAATAAATAAATATTGCATTATTATGACTATATATACATTGGAAGGGATTCTAATATGAAATTATGAATGGCAATAGGACAAAAAAGAAGTTCCCCACGGTGGAGATATCACCAAGTAGCTCGGTCATCAAGAAGACACCAGCACCCGTAGTTGCACCATTTTCTTCTAGAGGGCCAAGCTCCCTTTCACCTGATATCCTCAAGGTATGTTGTCTTTTATCAAGTATAATATATATAATAGTATATATATATATATATGGATAAAGATTCGGAAGAAAATCCATTCATGTGAACAGCACATCTTGTTCAGTTGAGTTCGGAATGTATTTTACAAAAGGAAAATGTTCAACTCTAATTCGACTTTTAATCCTAATTATTCAATTCGAGCCCAACTCATCCTTCTATTTTTAAATTTGAGTTGAAATTTCGGATTAGAAAGTTGGATTCATTCAAGTTGAGTTACGAACGTGGCCAATATGAAAATTTAATGTGATCTTGAGTTAATTTCATATTAAACTACTTCTAAGCACAATTTTTTTTTTTAAACTTATTATAAAATTTTAGTAAATTATAAATAAATTATTAGAAAATTAATTCTCCAAAGTATTAATATACAATAAATTAAGATTGAACCAATGAAAGTTGAAAAGAATAAGGTGATCATAATTTGAATATTATATATAATGTGTTTAAAATAAAAATATATATGAAAATAATATTATAATTAGGGTTCACGTTGTTATTATCTTACTCCAAGCCTAAGCCTAATTAAGTTCGGGTTGAGATTTTTCAACCCACACTCAACCTTAATTGTAAAAATGGTTGTCCAAGCTCTTGAAAAATCAAGTTGAGCTCAATTTGGGTGCGCAACACTTACTTCTGTAACAAATTAAATTAGGAAAAATTTCAATCGTCGCTGAACACTTAAAATTTGACTATATATATATATATCAATAAAATTCTCAAATTATAATTACCATATAAAATTTCACCAATTAATATTCAGCTATTGAAAATTTTTGTATTTAATTTTCAACTTTATCAAATAGTACTTTATCTTCTTAATTTTGTGCTTGTTTTGAGTAATGTCAGTTCTAATCCCATCAATGCATGTGAGGTTCAACCTCAACTTTAAAAACCATCCCACAAAAAATTGCGGGTTTACTTGACTTGTCACTCATAAAATAAATTTTTTTTTTTGTTTTTTTTTAGAGAACTGAAAATGTGAAAAGTGTAAAAAAAATTTTAAAAATTATTTTGTGAAAACTCAGTTATAAAAACTTCAGGCCCTACATTTTTTAATTCTTTGAAAACAGTTTTTAATTTTCTAAATTCTTGTAAACGGTTTTATAAGTGAACCGAAACAGCCCTGCATTTTTCTTTTTGGCACTTGGTGATAAAGTGAGAACTCCAAATTAACACACAGTCTACACATACACATCTAAACAGTGGTTACTGGTTAGTTATGTTCATTATTTACACTAAATTTCTTTGATTAATCTATTCCTATAACAGCCAGACATAAGTGCTCCAGGAATCAATATATTAGCAGCATGGCCTCTAAATAAAAGTCCCTATGGGGGCTGGATCTTTCAATCAGGGACATCAATGTCATGCCCTCATGTATCAGGAGTAGTTGCCCTCATCAAATCTGTTCACCCACACTGGTCACCAGCTGCCATTAGATCTGCTCTCATGACTACAGGTAATTTATACATATATATATTTATAGATGTGTATAGTTATAGATGTACCCATGTATAATTATATCTCCCAAATCCCAAAAGATCCCATTTAAGTTTAGTACGTGTATATTAATTCTTATGAAAATATGTGCAAATTAACCTCTAATATCTGTTGGTGGTCAATTTTGACCAAATTTTTTATAAAACCCCAAAATACCCTTAATATATGTCCTTAGAAAAACTGAAATTAGTGTTTATTTTTATTTTTATTGTCTTAAGAGCATGTTAGACATTTCAATCTCTATAAGAATGCTATTACGAAAGTTATCAACCAAGTGATAATACTTATTAAAGTCGATAAGTGTCTTATATATTATCATATTAACATATAAACCTCAATTTAATTGTGTCTTGCTCTTTCTTCTTCACAGCTTACACTAGGGACACAACCCATGACACTATTCTAGCTGGTGGAACAACAGAAACTGCTGATCCCTTCGACATAGGTGCCGGTCACATTAATCCCTTGAGAGCCATGGATCCCGGCCTGGTTTACGACATGAAAACCAGCGACTACATTCTCTTCCTTTGTAACATTGGTTACACCCAAGACCAGATCAAAAAAATGGTCATTGACTGTTATGGTACCGACACAAGCTGCAAAAAATCACACAAAACCAACTCAAACGTCAATTATCCCTCGATCACGGTCTCTAATCTCCGAACCACCACGACAATCAAAAGGACTGTTCGCAATGTGGGGAAGAAGAAGACTGCAATTTATTTTGCTAGTGTCACAAAGCCTAATGGAGTGGAGGTTGTGATATGGCCAAGGATTCTAATATTCACATGGTTCAAGGAAGAGTTCTCATACTATGTGACTCTGAAACCAGAGAAGTGTTCTCAAGGGAGGTATGATTTTGGTGAGATTGTTTGGTCAGATGGGTTCCATGATGTTAGGAGTCCATTGGTCGTGTCTGTGAACTTTACTGAGGATGGTGGTGGTACTAGTGAGTACATTGCTCATGCTAGCATTTAGGACTGTTATGTTTACAATGTTGAGTGTTTTTTATGTTTCCAAGTTTGGCCATTGTGTGTGCAGGCCATACAATAAAGCAATGTCTTTAGTTTTTTGTTATAACAATAAATACTCATCTCAATAAAATTTTGGGTAAATTCCACCTAATTTTGGGTAATTTTGGGAATGTTTTAATATTCTACCTACCTCTCCTTGTCTGTGACAACCTTTTATTTTACCAACAAAATTGTGTGATTTTATAGTTTTGCCTATCATATATATATATTACTAATATTTATAGATATATTTTATATGAAACTAAAAGACTGAAATGCCCTTTAATTATCTGTAAGTCATTTTCTATAATCCAAACATGATTCGCCCGTCCAAACAACAACGAGAGGTGCGACCGATCGACGGTGAGGGATCGACTAGACATCTCCAAAACCTCTTCGCCGCCCATGCGAGAATGAACTCGCCGTCGTCGCTAAAAAAGCACTCCACTTTTAAAGATTGAAAATAAAAATAAAAATTAATAATAATAAAGTTTTTCGCACTCTACTTTTAAACCTTAAAAATTGAAAATAAATTTTAATATTCAGATTTCACTTTTACATCCTTGCACTTGAATATTCTTGATAAATTACCATCAAAGTTCTCTTTTATCATTAAAACAAATAAGTCCTAAAAAAATTTCCTCTGAACCAATAAGTCTTATTTTTTAAGATTTTTTTTTCTTCATTTAAGTCCTAAATTAGTTAAATCTTTCTTTTATACCCTTACTGCATTATATATATACTCACTTAGATATAAAATCTAAACTCAAACTTTCATATATACCCCTTCCAAAATTAGAACGTAAAATTTGAATAAAAAAAATACTATTATTACTTTTTTTATAAATTAGTTATTATATAAACTTATAATGCAATATTATTTTTTGTCTTCTTGTCATATAGCTCTGATAGTCTTCTGACGAGAGTAAAGCCATCATGGATAATTGGCTATAAGTGTAGAATTAACAACTTCTGAAAAGTTCTTTGTTTTCTTACTGTAGAATCAAAGACTTTTTGAAAAGTTCTTTATCTTCTTCTGTTTGCAAGATAAGAAAATATCTTACTTTTGAGAAGATTTCGGTGCTGGGTTCCACCTCCTGATCTAAATCCTATATAATGCAATATTATTTAGGATTTATTGGTCTTAAAGAAAATTGTAGGACTTAGTTGTTTTCAATAAGAAAAGAATTGGTGGTAATTATCCCGATATTTTTTTATTTTTATCTTTTAGAAAAACATTCTGGATTTTCTTTTTTTGTTTTCTTAACTAGTTGATAAAATGGATTTCCCATTTTACCCTAAGAACCAAAAAAAAATAGAACTTTTTTATTAGATCTATTGAGGCACGACATTTCAATTATTTTTACCTTTCAAAAAATAATAATAATAACAAATAATAAAAAAATTCAATTAAAAAAAAAATTTTTTGGAAGGTAACAACATTTCAATTATTTTGTTAGAGCTTCCACGTATGCGCTTTAACCCACCACTGTGTTCCCCTGCCCTTCCCTGCGCATGCCTCCTTTTCATTCAAAACTAAAACTACCCACAAAAAGCTTGAGCTCATCTTGCAAGCTCTTACACTACGAACAAAGCCCAAAATGTAATGCAACACAATCATTTGTCAATTCTAGGGTTTCAACTTGTGACCAAAACTCTTCTTTTGAAGGACTGGCCTCAGCTCCTCGAATTTTCAATTGGGTCTCCAGACCTCATGCTTGCTGAGACCATTCATGGGTTTCTTGTGAAATTGGGTTTCAAAATGACCCCTTTTTAGGCAATAACCTTATCAACGTGTGTGCAATATTTAATAGAATGGATTGTGCACAACTGGTATTTGATGAAATGCTTCATCGGAATACAATCACATGGACTTCTCTAATGAATGGTTTTTTACAGATGAATGATGTTGAGTCTGTTTTCTGGAGTGCCCGTCGATTGTATAGATTACAAGAAGAGTTCAGTGAGCATACTTGCTCAGTGATTTTACTGGCGTGCGAGTTGCATGATGGTCAGATTAAAGGGAAACAGATTCATGGATTTGTTATGAAAGCGGGTTTTATGAGGATCTTATAGTTGGTACTTCTTTAATTTCCGTGTATACAAGAAGTGGCTTCTTGGAAGATGCAGAAAAAATATTTCATGATTTGACTTACAAAGATGTCCGGTGTTTGAATCTTGTGTTACCGGATTATGAGAGGCAGAGAGTGTTGGATACAGCGAGAAACCTTGCAATCATCATCTTTATTTAGTTTGAGTACACTCTAAGGCTATATATATATATATATATATATATATATATATATATATATATACTTGCTGTTTTTGACAGGAACTGCTGTAGAATGACTGGTATGAGTATGTTCGAGGGAATGAAGCTGAAAGGCAAAAAAGGGTAATCATTGTCTAGCACTATATGTATACATACATGTGTGTGTGTGATATATCTAATTGGAAGAATATGTAATTATGTAAATCAAGCATATACCCTTAGAGTACTCAGAATAGTTGGTGCCTGTCTGATGTTTGATGTATGTTTTGAGCCTTTCGGTTGTGTGGCTAGTTTTGTTGTTAGCCTGGTGACTTTTGTGCATTTGTACAGTTTGTTTTCTTGTATATAAAGTATACTTAAACAACAATTAATGTAATCTTGTGTATATATAGATTTATATATAAATCTAATTTCAAGAACATGTAAATATGTAAGCAAACAATTTTATGTAGAAATGTCATAATTCATTCATGCTAGATATAATGCTAGCTGATTTGGTAGGCCGACTAAACAATTTGAGATAAAATTGACCGATATACATATTTATGTATGTCTCACTTGATAACATCTTATCATAATAGGTTTGCTACTTGTGTGAAACATTGTTTAATCAAAATTTTCACTTAAAATGAATTTCTGATCTTATGATAAGGTGCCTTTCAAACATCAGAGAAGGACCCTCCTTCGTGCAACAGGGCTTTCGGTGCACTATGAAGGGTGGAAATTCCACTGGGCTTTCCGTGCACTAGGGTGGGTTTGGATTCAACTGGAGAGAATTCAAAGTCCTACAAACATCACCCTAAATGAGGTATGAACCAGATTTAATACTTTAAGTGGCGTGTATTGAAAGCAAATGAGTGGGATACAAAATATAGTGCTTCTTTTGAATCATTTTCAACCAAACATGTGCAGATATTAATTGATCTTTGGCTATTATATTGTTCTTAAATCAAAACCTACCCAGTGTAGGTATGATATTGTTCCACATGTGGGATATATATAGGTCCTGTATGTGACAAGTTCAGAAGTGCAATTGAAAAGTGCCAACTTGATAGATTAATTGTCTTGACTAATTTGTTGGATGTTGATGTGAAAATATTATTCTTAAACCTTGACGATGGAGTGACTCATAAAAATGATGCTGAAAAAGAGGAGAAATCAAGGACTCTCTCTCTCTCTCTCTCTCACTCACACACACACACACACACATCACACAAAATGACAGAGGACTAAAGATGTGGCTGATCTTAAAGATAGCAACACCTTGAAATTGTAATGGAAAGCTGAGCTCATTGTCCTACTTTACAAGTGAGATTTATAATCTATTTGTTCTAAAGGGCTTAGGTAGAACTTTCAGATACAATTGTAGAATTCTTTCTGGAAAGAATATGAAAGGTGGTCCTAATCTTATGTATGGTCTCTTCTCAGTTGGTCCCTAGACTAGAAAAATCTACAGTGCTGACTTGAGTAGTGACAAGGAGAAAATCAAGCTTATCATCAAGTTATCAACATCTCTCTCTCTCTCTCTCTCTCTGACACACACACACACACAAAAAAAAAAGTCAACTCATCTAATTGTTAATAATGAATAATTATTAATGATCATACATGTATTTAGAGAAGTATTACCAGTCATAATATGATATAATCATAATAATTGTTAATCTAATTAACAAAGATGATTACAAACACGGGTAAGAATACATCATCCTCTTAACATGGATTACAATAATAAATTACTTTTCACAAAATAGATCAATGACTAGATGCATCTCTTGAAGATCAATTTTGATATGAACTTCATTAGCTGCAATATAATGGCTATCTATTAATCCTGATTATGTGCTTAAGTAGAAACTTACATACTACTTGGCTCCACTATAACATGGACAACAACATGCAAATTTGTGTTCAGTAGTCATAACTTTAGTTGTGGTCAAAAGGGTTACTTTGCATGGTTCTTAATTAGCTCTTATATGTCTATAGATTGTAATTATAAATCATATTTAGGCTGGATTTATTATTATTATTATTATTATTATTTCATAACTTTGTATATATTGGAAGAGTGTTTTGTTGCGTTCTTGAATTCCTGAAAGCCAAATATGGAACAAAGTAAACTCTTTTCTTTTTCTTTTTTGGTGAGTGAGTGTACAGAGTTTACTCTGTCCTATGGTAAAAAGGATGGAAGCTAATTAAATTACCTAGTGTAACAACATGGAAAAGACTTGTCTGCAAATGGTGTTAATTGTATACTTGTGTTCTGAAGCTACTTTTTAGAAGAATTACTTCTAATGTAAACTAGTTAATATTATTCCAGGTTTATTTCTCTCTTTTCATAGAGTAGATGATATCCAAGCTACTTCTTGTCAGCTTGGATATGTGACTTCTATATTACTTTATCACTCAACCTTTAAAATAACTTTTCTTAACTTCTTTCAGAAGGCTGATTATACAGCTTTTCTTCAGAATGACTTCATCAATTTTCTATACAAGCAAATTGCATACTTGATTCTTTTTCTCATACAATTCAATAATATGCAAAATTAAATTTACACAAGCAGTCTGTCAGTGAGTTTCACATCCCATTTCTATGTCTGATGTATCAGCTCTTGTATTCCTTGTACATGCTTAATATAGTAAAAACTATGCTGTAATCTTATAGTAGCTAAAAGTTAGTATGTTAGTTCCATATTCAATCAAATTCTTCCCTAACAACATACCTAATATGATATGGGGATAATTCTATTGTTCTAGGAGGTGGGCTAAAAGTTGACTATATACTCCAAAAAAACTTTAAAAGGTGGCCTACATAGGGAAATTATTAATGTTGCACTTGAAATTGCTGCTTATCAACTAGATGCTTTACTTCAATCAAAATTGGCATGTATGAAGATGCAATTATATGTTCCTACAACAGAAAGCAGATGCCCTTGATGAAGCATATCACCTCAGTGTTCCAATGGAAGGTTTAATAATGTGATGTTCATCTTGTAAGGTAAAATGTAATTCACAAGTCTAAGGTCTTTGATTATGATCCTGCAATTACACAACATAATTGAGCTTAAATCACGCAATGTGTTGCGTAAAAATCTAGCTAAGCAATGATTTCATTGATTACATATTCATCCCTTCTATTTAAATTTGTTTTTCTTTCTACAACCACTTCTGTAAGATTAGTTATCCTATGCTGATCATTGCATGAATAGGTTGATTAATTGATCTCTTAGAAGTTGGTAATGGACATTGGTGCATGTTATAGGGTGTACAAGTTGGACATCTAATGAGATGAATGTAGTTGCCAACTAGAAATAAATCAGAAAAGCATGAATATGTAATATGCAGTCCTGATTAATTTACTGGCAGAAATGCTTAGCCAGCTTTGTGCAGTACTAGGCACAAATGCTTACTAGATGTGTTTACGTTGGCTGCAGTACTAGGCATAAATTCTTACTAGATGTGTTTATGTTGGATAATGAAGTATAATTCACACTAATGCAGCCTATATGTACCTGTTACAAACTTCCATAACTTTAACTTTATCCACTAACTAAAGAGAAGAAGAAAAAAAATTACCATCCATCCATTAGTATTAGTCAAGCCAAGTTAAACCAAGTGCGAACGTATTAGAATAGTTTAGAGTTTAGATTGACCTTTATATGTTCTCCCTTGTTCAGTACAAGGCCGGCAAAATACCATGTATGTGTGGGATTTTATATTTAGATTTGCCAAAGGTAATTTAGTGAAAGATGTTGTGCTTTTACTTCATCAGCTTCATTTCTACTAAAAGAATCCCCTAAATTTTTATGGTACTAATGCAGTTTGTCAATTAACCAAGCTTATGATAAAAGAAGGCTAGCTATTTGGTTTTCTTTTACTTTTTTCCTCCGTATGTAGAATGATGGAAGCACGTGCTTTTTTCTTTGTGGTATTCATAATAATATGATTGAGTTCTATGAAGGTGGGCTCTTATACGTACATATATGCAAAAAGGGAGGGAGTATATCCCATCTTTATCAACTATTTTGGAAGGGAAAATATCAAGGTAACGCAGCTAATATGTTGTCAATTAACCAGGTTTATAAGAAAGGTTTTTTTTTTTTTTTTCCTTTGAAGAGTAATGGAGTTCCAAATGCATTCCTCTTTAGGGTATTGGTAGTAGCTATGATTGAGTTGTATGATGAAGGTGGCCTCCTGCAGTATTTGTGCTACTAAAGATAGCTATAGTTTGGTACATATAATACTACATATATGTGAAGAAGGGAGGGGGAACACCCCATCTTTATCTACTGTTATATCTTGGAAGGGAAAATATCATCATGGTTTCAATGTGAGATATGTCAGTGCTGTTCTTGCTGCTTTGAAAGCCTTCGAATGCACGCACTTCACTACCATCCTTTACTGGCCTTCAATATTTAATCCCAAGCCACCATGTGGTTTTTCCTTAGGAGACAATATGGCCATTTCTTTTCAGTGTTATTGGGGCCTATCCCTCTCACTTTCAGTTTATTTTATTCACTCAACATCTATGTCTCATGTAACTTTATTACTTAATGCAAAAGTGTTTCTTCTTTTTTTGTCCTACTCTCTTAATCAGTAATGATCATCTCATCTTCTTTCATTTCTGATTCTTGTTTTACACAGGTTTTCATAGTCTATTTAGGGCTCAACCAAATCCACGATCCTCTCCTCACTTCTATACATCATGTTCAGCTCCTTTCTAATGTCTTTGATAGGTACTCCTGTTTAAATGCTTTTAGTACTTCCATTTTTTCTGTTGAAGAATAAGTTAAAGCTATTTTACATCATAACTCAAATCATGACTTACTCTTCTTTCTTCCATTCTTTATAAAATTTTATACTATATAGCAAAGAAGAAGCCAAGAAATCCATGCTCTACAGTTACAAGCATTCTTTCTCAGGTTTCTCAGCAAAGCTCAATTCAACCCAAGCAATCACCTTAGCTAGTAATAAGCTAATCCCTTCTCTTTACTTCTTACAAAAACTTGTATGTCAAAAGAATTTTGTTAAAAGCCTCAGATGAGTTATTTTTCAATGAGGAATTGATATAAAGTGATTGTAGCTTTTGAAGGAGTGATATCAGTGTTCAAGAGCAAGACACTGCAGTTGCACACAACAAGAAGCTGGGATTTCATGGGTCTTACCTTGGACAATAGTGGAGTGACTCCATTGCAACTAGCTCATGGTGATGACATAATTGTTGGGGTCATTGATACAGGTTAACATTTTCAGATGATTTCTTCTTCAATCTTATAACCTTAAATTTTGTGCACTGATTTTTATCTTTTTATCGCTTTCGTGTTAGATGCATGGACTTAATTAATCAAGTATTAATAGTCCTTCTATGATAATTTCATTATTAATGTATGAAATATTGTCCTTTTGAGATTAATGATGTCCCACTGAATAGAAATACATGCATGATACTCATATTAAGGGTCTATAGTGGGAATTTAAATGTATTTTTATTAGGGGGATGTGCTGAAAACACCCCTAATGTATACTCCGCGTAGCACTTTGCTACCTATTTTAAAAAGTGTGCATAAAACCCCTTTAATGTTTTAACATTGTGTGGAAAGACGCCTCAAATTGATTTTTGCATAAATCTAACGTAAAGTAATGTTATAATGCCTGTTTTGCCCTTTTACTCTTCCGAAAATGTCCAAGGGGGTGTATATGCTAATAATCTCATAGTATAGGGGTGTTATGTGCACATTACCTAGTGTTAGTGTTATGCGCACATTACCTAGTGTTAGTGTTATGTGCACATTACCTATTGTTAGTGTTATGTGCACATTACCTATTGTTAGTGTTATGTGCACCTTCTGTTTTTTTTTTTTTTTCCTCTATATATTTCTTTAATAGTGCATTCTCTCTTGAAAGTGTTATAGTATGTGAAGAAAATATCAACCATTTTTTTTTTTTTTTTTTTTTTTTTGTTTTGTGATTTGAATATACTAAAAGCAATAGATGTTAATAACTACAATCATCTTGATTTCTCTTCAAAATAATTTATATTTGAAAATGCAATAGTTAGAATTTTTGGAATACAGATGGATATAACTCTGTAATGTTTGCAATCCAAAGAAAAGTTTCTGCAATTACAGGAAAGCTCATAAAAATATAAGCAAATATTTTAGTAAAAAAAATGAGTCGAAGAATTTCTAATTCCTAGTTTTGTATTTTCTTGACTCTTATCCCCTCAAACCTGTAAGTTTTTTTTTAGAAATCACGTAATCCAAATCGTGGATGTACACACACATATATACTCTACTCTGCACTCAAATCTCTCATTTTTTATTTATTTATTTATTATTATTATTATTAATTTTAATCCCTGCACTATCAATCTCTCATTAACCACGATCCAAAGTCAATTCCGCATACTACAAACGCAACTGAAGATAGAGAGAGAAAGTAGAGAGAGTGTGAAAGTGAAATTACATATATTAGCACAAGTACCATACTGCCATAGAATCAAATATCCAATCACATGATCAATCATCTCTAATTAGTAATTATACACCAATTGAGCCCAATAACGAGTCAACCATCGTCTGACAAGCTCCAGTATGATGAGGCTCAATATGACTTCACCAGTGACAGTTCTTAGCCCAAAACTTTGATCCTATCAATTTTAATTGTGTATGCAACCCGGTCAAAGTAAGGCAGTGGAGTTGAGATTAGAATCAACGGAATGTAATTCAACGGCCCGACCCATGTAAAATTGCGTCACCGTGGAGTAACACGCCGGAAAAATCTGAACCTGAGATGCAATAAGAGAATTTGGGAAAACCCATTCGAAGACGAAGTCTTTGAGGAGGAATCGGAAGAGTTTCTTGGATAGATTGTCAGTGGGGCTCGTTGCAGGAGGAACTAGGTTTCTGGTGAGGGACTGCGAAGGAGACGGTGAGGGCTTGAGGATTATGGAGGTGAATCGGGTGGAGAGATGGTGGGTTTTGGAGAGGTGGTGGTGGTGGTGGTGCAGCGGGCGATAGGGTGACGTTAGAGCAGTGGTGGCGGCTAAAGGTTGCAGCAGTGTTGGTGCTGGTGGCAAGAGGACTGATGACGGATTGATGATGGACTTAGTTTTGTGCCCTTTTCTGTCCTTTTACAAAATGATATATTTTTAAATAATTTGTAAAATGTTTCAGTAAGGGCAATTTAGGCAAACTGTCACTTAAATTTGTTAGTAGGACTTATTTGCACAAATTTGATACTTTAGGGGTGTTTTTTGCACGTGAAGGGTGTGTTACGCACTGTAAGCATACTATAGGGGTGTTTTTTGCACTAGACCCATTTCTATTACTTTATTCTAATATATAAAAGATAAAAAACTAGCGAGATAACTCCCCCAAGTTTCCAATTAGTTCCCATAAATAGATACTATGATTCAATTTAACAATTTCTCGAGCATTGCTTTGAATTTTGTAGCATTTGCATATTTGAAACAAGTTAACACTTGTATGATTCAATGGTGCGTATATATATGTGGATGTATGATCTAGCTATGTATGGATAGTACTACCTATATGATTCAATTTAACAATAGATGCTAGCTATATGATTCAATTTAACAATTTCTCAAGCATTGCTTTGAATTTTGTTGCGTTTGCATACTCGAAACAAGTTAACATTTGTATGATTCAAAAGTATATATATGTGATCTAATTGAATATATCTTTATGCATCTAATTATGGATGACAAGGTGTCTCGCCAGAATCTGTGAGTTTCCAGGACGGACCAGCTGGGCTGCGTCCCATTCCATCATCCTGGAAGGGAAAATGTGTCCCAGGAGAAAATTTTGACCCTGCTACAGCATGTAACCGGAAGCTAATCGGTGCGCGCTACTACCTTAAAGGTTTTGAGGAACAATATGGACCATTGATCAACACAAGTGACATCCCAGAATATCGATCCCCTCGCGACTCCAATGGCCATGGGACACACACTGCTTCAACAGCAGTAGGGTCTATAGTGAGCAATGCAAGTTTTTTTGCTCTTGGACAAGGCATTGCTAGGGGAGGAGCCCCTAGAGCGCGCCTAGCAGTGTACAAAGTGTGTTGGAATGGCGGAATTTGCAGCGAGGCAGATATAATGGCGGCTTTTGATGATGCATTGAGTGATGGTGTTCATGTGATATCAGTCTCATTGGGTCAGAAGCCGCCTATGGATCCATTTTTTGAAAAGGCTCAAGACATAGGATCATTTCATGCCATGCAGAAGGGTGTCACTGTGGTGTTTTCTGCAGGCAATTCTGGGCCAGGTCCATCTCTTGTAGAAAATGTTACCCCATGGAGCCTTTGTGTTGCGGCTTCGTCAATCGATCGAACCTTTCCAACAGAGATACTATTGGATAATAAAATCTCCATCACGGTAATTTATTCCATTTATGCATGATTTATGTATGCCTAGTATTATCTTCCTTACCTCGAAAAAAGAAGAAGAAGAGAGATTAAATAAAATAATAATGTCTACTATCATATTAGGGTTAGTAACACCCGAAAAATTATGGTTTTCGCTATGTCAGATAAAAGACCGTTTGTTTCACTAATTGAGGCATACCTAGACACGCATAACCTGTTAATGGATCGGATTTTGATCTGAATGTGATACGAATCTGATCCAATAACGCGAATATGGATTGAATATTGAATTCAATAATATGTTAATGATACGAATCTTAAATTACCAAATCAAATATGGATTGTGATCAACCTGATCCATTGATTAACTGATCCAACTAAATATAATATATAATATACTATATATGCATGTATTATCTTTGGTATGCAATTGATGAACAAATTAATAAATTATGTTTTTTACTTAGTGTTTCATCATGCATAATATTGGAACTCTTCATTCCAATTTTGATGAGATACTAAAAGCAAATAAATAGATTGTTTCCTAATAATTGTTGTACCTCACAAGTCACATATTAATTGGTTGACCAGACCTTTAACTACCAGAGCATTATAAATATTAGGCATCATGCCCAAAGGAAAAGAATTGAATAGTATAACATAGGAAGATCTTTTATACATACCAAATCCAAAATTGGATTCCTGATCCAATCAAGAATTTTTTATTTTTTATTTATTTATTGTATCATTCTTCTTTCTTCTTCTTTCCTATAACCTACCCTACGTCTTCCTTGTACAATCTATGGTTGGCATGACTTCAATCCTCTCATAGAATGTCATTTCTTTAATGAAGATTAGAAACTTTAGTCACAGAAAAGAAATCAGATATAAAAATAGAAATTACTTGATATTAAAGGAAGCAAGGTTAAGAAAGGCATGGTAGTGACTTTATATGTTTCATTTGGAATATAATTGATAGCCTGAGTTTTCAAACCGACTTGATGTAACATAGAATTGTTAATTATTTAAGAATAAAGACGGTCAATTCTGTGTGAGCTGTATACTCAAACATATATGAGTAGGACCTAAATCCCACATTTTTGTCCGTGGTCGGCTCAGGATGGATTGGCGCGAGTACATCGGTAGGAGAACTCATTATTTATTAAAGAGACTTCCTCCCTCTCTCACTTCGGCCTAAGTCTTCAGTCAAAGACTTGGTCCTCAATAGCATTGTTGTTTTCCAATTTCCTTTTGGCTTCATTACTCACACAAGTTTTTCGAACTGTGTAGCATTACTCTTTCGCATTATATAGGGCTCTTATATTTCTCATCCTGACATGTCAAATATTTGCATAAACATTGCTGAATCTTATCATGCCACTTTTATTGAGTGCACGATACTTTATGCAGGGACAAAGCTTCAATGTCAAACAAATAAAGTCAAGACTGGTGGATGCAGGAAATTTTTTTATCAATGGGTACTCTCTCTCTCTCTCTAGTGATAATGAAGTACATTTTGTTAAACCATTTGTCTATATATACATATAGATGTGTTTCAATCACTAGATATATATATTAGATGTTCTTTAAAAAAACCCATGCATTCATGCTAGCTAGAAGTAGTGAATTTCATGCATGCATGCATGCATGACATCAAGCTGATGTTATATATGACATGAAGCAATATTCATGTATGTTTAGGATTTGCAAGCCTAGGAATTGGAACCAATCGACATCTGCTTCAGGGAGGTACATAATCCTATGCTTCTCAACAATAGGATTTGTAAACGTTGGTGAGGCTGAAACGGCTGCTTGGTTTGCGAATGCGTCAGGCTTAATCTTTGCAGGGCCATTGACTACTCAGGATGCCTATGTGAGTATTATCCCCGTGGTGCAGGTTGACATGAACCAAGGGACTAAACTTGGTCAATATCTTACTGAATATATCAGGTGAATGAACACAATTAATAATTTAAAGTTGCTGGATAGTTAGTTACCATGCATAAAATCCCAGTTTTTTGGGAGAGGATAAGTGACTTGAGATCAGTTGTTTTTGCACCCAAATGATTGGTATTTGTTATTTTATAATGAACATAAAAGATTCCATTTCTAGATTTTCTTGAAGCAAAGACTATGTTGTTTAATTTAATCCTATGCATTGATATATAAAAGAAACATGATACTCTCACTTGAAAGATTTTTTGTCAAGAAGTTACTATATAAATTGTCGAGTTGTGTGCCCAAATTCTCTTTTAACAAGTTTTTCTACCTGAATCACGGGCCTTGCATGGGTTTTCCCCTTTTTTTACCTGATATGTGTGTTGGCAGGCTTTAGAACCGATTTCTAGTCTCTATTGTAATCTTCATTACCTCTAGGCTAGAGCCTTTGGTGGTATTCTTCATACATTTTTAAGAATCTCGAACTAGAGAGATTTATACATCCCCTTTCTTCCTCGCATATTGATCTCTTTTCGTTGTCTTCACCAAGACGTAGGCTATAAGGCAAACTACGTTAAATCTTTGTATTCTGTGTGGTGTGTGATTTTTCGTTTCTGTTTCCTCTTGATTATTGTTGTACTTTATCATGATTTGGCATAACGTAAATATAATATGATAGAGAGATGTGCACACACACACACACACACAAGAAAATGCTATTTTTGTTTTTGAAAACAAAAACAGTAAAGATCAGGAATTGTAGAGTGAAATGTTTGCAGTAGGCCATCCGGTCTGCCACCTATGTGGCTAGTATTGGCCTCAGTTTAGTAAGTGATGATGCTGGTGCGGGGCTCGCCACATGGCGGGCCCCATACAAATATTATGCAAATGCAAGCCACAGGCAACGAGCCTTCTGTCGAGCAACTCTATGCCTTCTCAAATTTTTTTTTTTTTTAATTATTTTCTACAAACCGTTGCAACTCTTTGCCTTCTCAAAAATAAACAATAGAAAATAAAAAATAATAAAAGTAGCCAGCCCAGCCAACATCATACCAGCTGGCTGGGCTGGCCACTTTAAGTGAAGAGCCGCATTATTCTTCAAAAATAGAGAGCCAATATTGAATAACCATATCGGATGCTCTTATTGTGACTATATATTGGAAGGGATTCTAATATGAAATTATGAGTGTAACAGGACAAATCATAGGTACCCCTCGGTGCAGATATCAGCAAGTAGCACGGCCATTAACAAGTCACCGGCTCCAATAGTTGCACCATTTTCTTCTAGAGGGCCAAGCACCCTTTCACCTGAAATCCTCAAGGTATGTAGCCTTCTATCAAGTGGAATTATTGTTATTATTATTTTGTGGGTGGGTGGGTTTGAGTGTGTGTGTGTGTGTGTTGTGGGGGGGGGGGGGGGGGGGGGAGTCTACCAGAGACCAAACAAGACCCACAAGGCCATATCTCTACGAAAGGGATAAAAATATAGGTGACCAAAACAAATAATCAAACCATAAGCCCAAGCTGGTGGAAAGGCCAAAAGTGGCATTTATTTATTGAACCATAAGTTAGGTAGTACATAAGTGGCAATTAAGATGCCAAAAATGGGGCATTACAATAGTTTCAATTTGGTGCTTGACTAGAAAAGGGACCAATTTGAGTCTATGAACTTTATAACCAATGGAAAAAGGTTTTAATTTAGTGGTACTTCGTTACCATTCAAAGTAGAAGGTCGAGGGTTCAAGTTTCCATAGAGGCAAAGTTGGTGTGTAAATTTCTAGCCAAAATCTTGACAAAAATATATATATATATATATATATATATTCCACGATCCTTATGTTTCTTGATTGCTTTACTAGTGAGTAACTGACATTTTTCATGTTCTCTAGATAAGGAGTAGATTTGTTCTATATAGGGAAGGAAAAAAAGAAAAAATTTATGAGCAAATGGGATTTTTAAATGTTCGTATGAGTATGGGTTACGCGTTGTTGTATGTGCTTCAATTTGAGTTCCATTAAGTGAAAAGGAGTTATAGAGATTAAGAGTTTGATAACATAATTCAGCACTTATACTCTGAATCTATTAAAATGAGTTAAAATTTCAAGTGATAGTGAGATTAGTTATTTATTGCTGAACAATTAAATTTCAGAAAATATCAAACAAATTCTCAAATTGCTACTACCACTTAAAATTCAACTCTTGAAATTTTCAATATTTAATTTTCAGTTTTATCAAATAGTAATCTTCTTTATTTTTTGCTCATTTTGAGTAACGTGCATTTCAATCCCACCAACACTTGGTGAGGTTCAACTTCAACTTTAAAAACCATCCCAGAAGTAACTACATCATTTTTATTTTTTATTTTTGGTTAAAGGTCCAAATAAACACACTTCAACAGGTCGGGAGTCTGAATCCCCTTGGGGCCACCCTCAGGAAATTTTTCCGGAAATTGCCCAGGTGGTAGATTATGGGATGCTCTTAGAGGTCTGACACCACCATAACTTAATAAATTTACACACGCGTGCGCGCAAACACACATACATATATATTTGTTAACAGTGGTTACTGGTTAGTTATGTTCATTTACACTAAATTTCTTTGATTAATCTATTCCCATAACAGCCGGACATAAGTGCTCCAGGAGTCAATATATTAGCAGCATGGCCTCAGCAAACTCCTCCCACTGGGATAATACCAGATGATACTCGCACTGTGAACTGGACCTTTCTATCAGGGACATCAATGTCATGCCCTCATGTATCAGGAGCAGTTGCCCTCCTCAAATCAGTACACCCACACTGGTCACCAGCAGCCATTAAATCTGCTCTCATGACTACAGGTAATATATATGCATGTATAATTAGATCACTCAATAGAACCCCTTTATACCATCTAATACTATTTGTTATTGGATCATGATTCCTTTTCATTGATTGCTGATTTCAGCTGGTCCATCCTATTGATAACAATAAATCTCTACTTTTTATTATTGATATGACACTACATTGTACACTGAATGCACCGTTGAAAATCAATAACAGTAGAGAGGAGGTCGGACATGAATCCTCATCCTCTCTAGCGCTGGAGAGGTCTTGTACTCCACCAAGGGTGTAGATGGCATCATTAGGTGATGAGATTGGACCATCATATGATGGATCTCACCTGGTGGTGCAATTATTGCCCTAGGTGAAGTAAAGGACCCTCTCTGGTGCTAGAGTGGATCCAAGCTCAAAGGAGTTCACTTTTTTGTTAGGGGATGGACCATGGTTGAGACTAAAGCAGCTAGTCTTGACCTAAATATTATCAATGCAATTATTTCAATTAAAACCTTAGCTGGCATATGTCCTTAATTTATAAATACCTCAATTTAATTATGTCTTCCCAACTCTGCTCTTTCTTCTTCACAGCTTACACTAGGGACACAACCCATGACAGCATTCTAGCTGGTGGAACAATGGAAATTGCTGATCCCTTCGACATAGGTGCCGGTCACATTAATCCCTCGAAAGCAATGGACCCCGGGCTAGTTTACGACATGACAACAATTGACTACATTCTCTTCCTTTGTAACATTGGCTACACCGAAGATCAAATAAAAAAAATGGTTATTGCCTCTTCTGGTACCGATACAAGCTGCCCAAAAGCATACAAAACCAGCTCAAACGTTAATTATCCCTCAATCACAGTTTCTAATCTTCGAACCACCACGACAATTAGGAGGACTGTTCGTAATGTTGGCAGTAAAGGGACTGCAATTTATTTTGCTAGTGTTACAAAGCCTAATGGAGTGGAGGTAGTGATATGGCCAAGGATTCTAATATTCACATATTTCAAGGAAGAAATCACATACTATGTGACTCTGAAACCAGAGAAGATTTCTGAAGGGAGGTATGATTTTGGTGAGATTGTTTGGTCAGATGGCTTCCATTATGTTAGGAGTCCATTGGTTGTATCTGTGAACATTACTGAGGATGGTACTAGTGATTACATTGCTCATGCTAGCGTTTAGGATCGTTTGTTTACTATTGACTTTTGTTGTAATAAATACTCATTATCTTAATAAAATCCTTATGAGTGATTAAGGGAAAAAGGTGTAGTACTACTATTTAAGATCAACAAATATATAGGTGGGGAAAACAAGCTTGCAGCTATCTTAAGTAGCTAGCAACTATCACCAACGAGAGGTTGAATGCGTCGAGCATATCGTGTCATTGGTATTGTCCACCCAATGAAAATGCATTATTTCATGAAAATTGGCCCACCCATCTTTAAAAATTGCTGATAACAAGATGATATGTTATATTTTTATTGGGCGGGCGTACCACGTTATTAGTATGTCTGGCTTACCCAATATTCTCTCATCTCGAAAGGCTATAATCTAGTGGTACTTACTAGTTTCTTTTCAAAATTGAAGGTCCATTTTACTCGTAGATGTGATGATATGCAAAATGCATTGCGAGTCACAAGTAAATTGGCTAACTAGTGATTCTAAGATGTGCACAAATATCTATCTATTTTTTTTTTTTAATAACATCAAGAGAAAGGGTCATTCATTTTTCTACAAGAGACATCTTCAATTCTTTATTGTTTATACCATATTGTCCTCTTAATTTTTCATCTTTCTTATGGACAAAGGTTCAAAAGAGTGGTGGAAAAGATGAAAAAGAAAAAGATATTCGCACTCCACTTTTAAATTTTAAAAATTAAAAATTCATATTATACTTTTACATTTTATTTATTTATTTTTCTCTTAAGAAATAACATTATTATCTCCAAAACAATCTTGCATAATTATCTGAAAAGAAAATCCTACTCTTAGATAACAACATGCTTGTGCCTGCCACAAAATATTTTTCTTTTGGGACTGTAAAGTTGCTTTTTCTTTTTCGCATGTAAAGTTGGTTCATTGATTTATAAATAGCCAACATCATGAAATGGACAACAGTAAAATGTAAGGGTAGAAAGAGTGATTTCCCTTTAATACCCTCATCCCAAAAAAGAGAACTTTTTTATTACATTTTTTTTTTTTTTTAAGATCTTGAGGCACAACAATTCAAACATTTTGATAGAGCTTCCATGTATGCGTTTTTACCCACTACCGTGTTCCCCTGGCCTTCAAAACCTGAATTGGCCTTCCTTCCATTGAAACAAAAGCCACCCATTAACAGCTTGAGCTCATCTTGCAAGTTCTTATACAAACAAGGCCCAAACTGTAATGCAACACAATCATTTGTCAATTCTAGGGTTTCAACTAGCGACCAAACTCTTCCCTTGAATGACTGGCCTCAGGTCCTCCAACATTCAATTGGGTCTGGAGACCTCATGCTTGGTGAGACCATTCATGGGTTTCTAGTGAAATTGGGTTTTCAAAATGACCCCTTTTCAGGCAATAACCTTGTCAATATGTATGCGAAACTTAATAGAATGGATTGTGCACAACTGGTATTTGATGAAATGCTTCAACGGAATACAATCACATGGACTTCTCTAATGAATGGTTATTTACAGATGAATGATGTAGAGTCTGTTTTCTGGATTGCCCGTCAAATGTATAGATTACAAGAAGAGTTCAATGAGCATACTTGCTCGGTGATTTTACGGGCATGTGAGACGCATGATGATCGGGTTCAAGGGAAACAGATTCATGGTTTTGTTATAAAAAGTGGGTTTAATGAGGATGTTATAGTTGGTACTTCTTTAATTTCCATGTATTCAAGAAGTGGCTGCTTGGAAGATGCGGAGAGATTGTTAAATGATTTGACTTACAAAGATGTCCGGTGTTTGAATCTTGTGATTTCAGAATATGGGAGGGTTGGATACAGCAAGAAAGCAATTCAAATCTTTCTTGAGTTGCTGAATTCGGGTTTGGAACCCAGTGATTATACCTTAACCAATGTAATAAGTGCTTCGAATGGAGATAGAGATGTGGACGAAGGCAGGCAATTACATGGACTCGTCTTTAAGCAAGGTTTTTTGGGTAAAACCTCAGTCCAAAATGCAATAATTACAATGTATGGTAAGCATGGGCTGGTTGAAGAGGCTGAGGGTGTGTTTCATGGAATAGATGAGACGAATTTGGTTTCTTGGACTGCCCTTCTGTCAGTGTATGTGAAGAATGGCCATAGTGAGAAGGCACTTAGTGGGTTCTTAGAAATGGTCAGCTTGGGAATTCACATGGATTCTAGTTGTTTAGCTACTGTGCTTGATGGCTGTTCAGAGAGCAAGAATTTGGATTTGGGACATCAAATCCATGGATTTGTGATAAAGCTTGGTTTACTCTCTGATGTTAATGTTGGAACTGCTTTAATAGATTTATACGCCAAATTGAGGAAGCTTCAGTCTGCAAGACTGGTTATGAATAGTCTTCAAACTAAAAATATTACTTCGTTCAATGCAATTTTAGTTGGATTTACAGAGACGGAAGGAGCTGAAGTAGAAGATGCCATGTTTTTGTTTCAAGAACTGAGACTAGCTGGTGTTAAAGCAGATTCCATAACTTTTGTACAGCTGCTTGCTTTGTCTGCTTATCAAACTTGTTTAGTTAGAGGAAAAAGTCTTCATGCTTTTGCCATCAAAACTGGATTTGAAGCTGATCTTAATGTAGGTAATGCTATAATTACCATGTATGCCAAATGTGGAAGCATTCAAGATGCTAGTGAAGCGTTTAATGGTATGACTGATCATGATTCAATATCTTGGAATTCTATGATTTCTGCATATGCCCTTCATGGACAAGGTAGAAAGGCAGTTTTTCTATTTGAAGAAATAATAAAGAAAGGGTTTATTCCTGATGAGATCACAATGTTGGGTGTTCTTCAAGCTTGCAGTTACTCTGGTCTATCAGAATATGGATTTTGCTTTTTCAATGAGATGGAGAGGAAATATCGGATCAGGCCAGTACTTGAGCACTTTGCTTGCATGGTTGATCTTTTAGGCAGGGCTGGGTTTTTGTCAGAAGCCTTGGATTTCATTAACAAAAGCCCATATTCAGACTCACCTCTTCTTTGGAGAACTCTGGTCCATGTGTGCAAGTTATGTGGGGATTTGAGTTTTGGCAAGATAGCTGCAAAACACCTGCTTGATTTGGCACCCAAAGAAGCAGGCTCGTACATACTTGTTTCAAATATGTATGCTGAAGGGGGGATGCTAGATGTGGCATCAAAGGTGAGAACAAGAATGAAGGACTTGAAGGTGAATAAAGAAGCAGGTTGCAGCTGGATTGAAATCGATAATAAGACCCATCGATTTGTGGCAAGCGCCAAAGACCACCCAGAAAGTAGAGATATTTATGCAAACTTAGAACTATTAGATGCTGAGATGAAACAAAAACATGTTGATAGAAGTGATCTTCAACTGACTTGGGAATCCCATTTAATTGCATTGAAGTGAAATAAAAAAATTTCTTTAATTTTCTAGCATTGGGATGTCTATGGACTTGACTTGGTTCTGTGCATATAATGGTACTCCTTCATTTCAGTGGCAATTGAACTTCATTGATTCAAGAATTTAAGAACTGGAGTAACAATTGAAGGGTTGATAAGATAGTTGTATAACCTAGCTGGATGAGAACAAAAAGGAAAGGCAGGATGGTAGCAGTCACGAAACCTCCCGCTGTAAGTATGATCTTTTGTACCCCTTGACAAAAGCTCGCGAATGCCCTAGAAAACTGATCTGTAAAACAAAATTTACAGCTCCAAGTGCTCATCTGCTTAACATTACATTGCTTTTTACATTTTAGAAACAATAATGTCATAGAAGCATAATGTATATGTTTCACTGCTGTCTAATAAAAATACATTTACTAAAGAAATGACTCTGACAATCTAGGTAGAACGGCAATGAAGGGCAGTGACTACATTTCACCTTTGGTGATTATGTACTATGGTGATTCACACCCTATCATTAGCCTTCACCAGCTGACAAGTCGCGTATCCTCATGCGCCATATTCATGCGACTCAACTTAGTTAATTCACTGGGCTCCTGTTTATGAAGGGGAAAAGCTTTGTTATCGAACAAATGATGCCAAGATTGGTGGTTGTGATAAATTATTCTGACACGCACACAATGACATAGTATTGTGTTATGAATGTTTTCTCAGTAGTATGCTAGATACTGCTGAACCTTCGTCGAATAATATGTTTATGTATGGTTGAACATGTTTCAGTTGTCAAGTCAGTGTTGAAGCGGTGTCCTGCAGCCATAAATTGAACTCGAAAACTACAGGTAAGAAGGATATGAATTTGACCCCTTACAATCCTTGTGTTTGTCTGTACATTTTTGCTGGTTTGTTATTTATTTAGGTCATGGACCCTGGTCTAGACAGGAGGCTGTGTTGGTCCTTCCACTTCTTGGAAAAGTTAGAAACCTTAGGTGGCACTGGACACTCCACTAAACCATATGAGAGGAAATTTTTGAGAGAGTTCACACATTCTCACAAATTAGATCACATCCAAACTAGATATTTCTTGTTGAAAAAGTAGACAAGAAGGTTCATTGCTCTCATTTTTATGTCAGATGGTGACATGTAAACCTAGTCTTATATGGATACCAAGTAAAACATTCTCAGGAAGACTAAGAAACTTTGTAAACTTGATGTGCCTTTGCTTAACTTATTGTTGATTGAACTCAATTTATTTACATTTCCATGATTTTATCATTCACTATTTCACAAGTATAATGTGAAAAAGGATGCGGTGTGATAGCCAGTGGTAAGGGTGATGCTTGTGGCCAAAGGTCTAAGTTCGAATCCCCCATCAATTGTCAGTTTGATGAATTTAATCAGCATTGTGATATTATTTTAGCGGAGAGAAGGCTCTTATTGTAGTTTGAGTTAGTGTTTCTATTCCTCCTCAATACCAGTATCTTCCTCTCTCTCTCTCACACACACACACTCTCACTCTCACTCTCACATATGAAGCATATCTAAGGGAAGTTATCTAAGACGGTATCCTAGTTATAAGAAATTAGGTGTGACGGTATTGCCTGAGTGGTAAAAGAGTCTATTTATTTAAGACCAGGATGAGAACGCTAAAAACCAGACCTTTTATCACTTGGAGGTGGGGACATGAAAGGCATCGCCCTTTACCACCAGGGGACAACGCCTTTATAGGAAATCATATTAGCATTGGTTAAAAATTGGCTAAAATTAAATTGGTGACGTGGCTAAATGTTATTGGCTGTGTGATGATGGCCTTGAGTAATTGGTTAGTCAATGATGATGGCCTTGAGTAATTGGTTAGTCAATGGTGAGTCAATGGTAGTGGTGTGTATGAACCGGTCAACAAGCAATGTTTTGTCAAATATTTTGTCTCCATTAATCAAATTTTTTGTCAGCATTAATGAAGTGTGGCAGTGCCATGAATGAATGAAGAAACGTGAAGGCTAAGGAAAAGTAAGGGTGAAAGCAACAACTTGAGACGGTTGCTGGCCTATACTAGGGTGTTATTTGCAGAAGGAAAGCGAACAAGCAGAAGATGGTGAGATAGAAGAGAAAAAAAAGGAGAGAGAAAAGGCATGGTGAGGATGAAGGGTAGGGTGATATAGTCTCGTAGAAATATGCGAGTATGTGTGGGTATATGGCGGGTGAGGATGAAGGGTAGGGTGATATAGTCTCATAGAAATATGCGAGTATGTGTGGGTATATGGCGGGTGAGGATGAAGGGTAGGGTGATATAGTCTCATAGAAATATGCGAGTATGTGTGGGTATATGGTGGGTGAGGATGAAGGGTAGGGTATGGCGAGCGAAGGTCTTGTGGAGTGGTAGATCGTGGAAGACTCGGGTATTTGGCATTATGCCTGAGTATGAGAGTGTGTGTACATGATTCGAGTGTGTTTAAAATTTTTATGGGTATAATTTTTTATGAGATAGTAAATATGTATTATTTACCATTGTAATATTTCTTCGGAGGCAACGTGAGAAAAACATCTTTAATGTTTTAATTTTGAGCAAATAACAGCTCTATCCTTTATTTTTGGTATATAACTCCATTAAGTTTGAAAAAATGAGCAAATAATAGCTTATATTGTGTATACAAGTCCTTTAAGTTTGAAAAATGAACAAAAAAAAGTGCTTGAAATCACTATTAAGATATAAAATTCTGAAAACACCCTTATCTCTTCCGATAATGTCCTTATTAGGGCAAGGTGAGAAAAACACCCTTAATGTTTACAGTTTGGGCAAATAAAATCCATATCCTTTGTTTTGAGTACATAAGTTCGTTAAGTTTTTTAAAAAATGTGGTAAAGAAGGGCTTGAGGTAATTGTTTCGTAAAAAATTTAGTTATATACATTGCACATGACATTTTTAAGATATAAAATTTCAAAAAAAAAAAACCCTTATCTCTTCCGATAATGCTCTTATACATTTTTCACATTTAATTAGTTTTTTAACCTATGTTTTATTAAGTTATAAAGGGATAATTTAGTCTTTTTAGTATTATTGTCATTATTTGCACCAAAATTGAATGTTAACGAGGTTTTAGAATGTATAGGGGGTTATATACTTTATATGTATACCATAAGAGGTGTTTTTTGTCCGCAACCCTATATTCTATATATAAAAAGAGTGACAATTTAGTTATTTCACAGTTAATTAGTTTTTTTACATTTTTTTTATTTAGTTATAAAAGGACATTTTAGTCTTTTCAGCATTCAGGTCCTTATTTGCTTCAAAATTGAATGTTGGATGCTTTTTAGAACGCATAGGGGGGTTATACACTCTATATGTATACCATAGGGGTGTTTTCGCTCGTAACCCTTTCTTCTGTAATGATGAATAGTGGAATCTCTTCTCTGGACATAGGTCAAGTGGGGCCGAACTACGTTAAACTCAATAACTGCTACATCAGTCGGTAACCAAAAACCCATACGTCCTAAACCCTTTGGGGGAATAGTGGTTTTGCTATTCTTTCTAAAGTAGGAGTTAATGATTACAAATAGAACCTATTTTTTACCGCCTCTGTCCCATAAAAAGTGTTTAAATAATGACTCGCATGCGCTTTACACCCTTATGATATCCATATAGTGCCTATAACCCCCCATTATTAGTTCACCTCCCATATGCTTTAAAAATGGTACGGATTAATGCCTTTTGGGCGTTGACCTTTATTGACTAGTACCGGAGCTATAAAAAGACTAAAATAACCCTCTATCTATGATTTAAAAATAATAATAAAATAACAAAAAATAGGAAAAGACTAAAATAGCCCTTTATCAATACTCCACCTCTATTCTCGTTCTTGACTCTGAACTTGCCCTCTCTCTCTCTCTGTCCAACTGCAAACTACAAAATCTACAACAATTAGAAGTTCAAAACCCATATATTTCAGTTTATCTATCTATCTGCAAGAATCAAAAGTGCAAAACTTATTACCTATATTAAAACCCATATCGGCATATCATTTCAGATTGTTCAAAACATATCTTTTAGTTTCCATCACCCGCTATTCAAAACCTATTACCTATATCAAAACCCATATCGGCATATTGGTGTTGTCATCGCACCAACATTTAAAGATGTGCAAAAGAGTGTGGCTGTGCAATGTGGCCAAGTTTTAAATTTGTAAAAGCCACTACTACCTCTAACTAAAAATATAGCTAGGGTGAGTAGGGATCGTCCCAAGGATTCTTAGGCACTAGCAATGGAAACAATGTATAGGGTTAGTAGGTCGAGTAATCAAGAGATGGTGTGTTTGGTTGATTAGACTACAAACTAAACAAAACAAGTTCAATGTAAAATAAGCAATTTAAATGAAATTTAAAGAAAACAAGAGAGTGAGGTCTTTGGGTCTAGAGGTCAGCACTAAACATCACCATTCTAGACATTCAATGTATAATTAATGAGGGGAAACATGTGCTGCAATTTGAGAGTGTGTGATTGATTGTTTCAACAAGTATGGATGACCAATTGAGCATATATTGTCTAAGCAACCTAGTAAATAGCACAATACATCAAAATAAGCCATTAATCATTCCTTTAAGCTCACAATCCAAACACATCACATGATTAGAGAATAATACTACTTGCATTTATAAGCATGGAACATCAAGTAACAAGCTTAGATTGTCCTCCCATTTAACAACTAAGGCAACTACACTGCAACTAAGTTAAGGGTATGAAAATTAACTAAATAAATTAAGGGAGAGGCACAATCCATCAAGACATAAGTATGAACCATCAAATAAACCACAATAGTATTCTATTAAGCACTATGCCTTGACAATCTCTAGATCCATAGCATCAACACACATAGACATGCGTCAATAACACAAAAACTAGAGATAAACACATGAACATCTATTCTAGCATACATAGACATATAGATAGAATTAAATAATCAATTAGAAGTATTAAACCACACAAATCATTAAATAAACAATGTTCATATATAAAATAAATGTCAAAGCAAGATTACAA